AGTGGGATTTCCTTAGATTTGAGCAGGGTTCAATTGAGCCTTAGCTTGGATGTTTGGAAATGAGTTTTTATTGCTGAATTTTATTAACACCAATTGCAGAGTGTGGGGCTCTAGTATTGCTTTGAATCATATGACATTGCAATCTTTTATGTCAAAAATAGTCAAATATCAGCAATGTCATATAGTTCAACTTCATAGATAACAACTAGCACTGAATAGACTATAGAAATCATTCTATAAAAGACTTGAGGTAAAAAAAAAGATTTGATGTAGTATATAGGAAATGTTGACACACAGTAAACTAATAAATTACAAACAAACCTATTAAAACCGAAGAAATTGTCAACTGACATAGGAGGTTAAAACACGGAGGTAAATAAGACACAGATAAACACACTATAAGGTCCTTCAAGATGGTAAGGGTTTTGCTTTAAACTTGGAGGCTAACTTGCTTCCAAGAACAACCAACACTTAGTACTCATTATGTGTGCAGCTTGGTGCTAAGTGCTTCTTTATATACACTTTGTATTTAATCTCTACTACAAACCTGTTCAGGTAAATATTATCTCCATTTTACAGATGAAAAAGTTAAAACAAAATTTTTATTATTTTAGAAAATAGTCCAGTTTCTTAGAGCTACATTACATTGAAAAATATCGTGACAGTGTTGACATTACTTGAACAGATGCAGCAAATCTTTTGTAAGGCTATTCTTTTACTATCTCTTGACCTTGGGCAATGGTTCTCACTCAAAAGAATCACGTGAGGACTTCCTCCTCACCCAAAATTTGGATCCCATGGGTACTTCCTCCTCAAAGTGTGGTCTTTATGATAGCATTATTGGCATGGCTTAGATTAGTAGACATGCGGAATCTCAGGCCTCTCTCCAGAAGGCATTGGAACTTTATTTTAGCAAGATTCCCAGGCGATCTGTATGCACATTAAAGCTGAGAAGTGTGGCTTCAAGTGTAGAGGAGGTCCTATGTGTCTGAATTCTAAACACTCTCCCAAGGTGATTCTGATGTAGGTGATTAATGGTAAGGTTACACTTGACAAAACACTGCCCCGGGACATGATACCAAAATGCAATCCTCTGAAAGCATTACCACAAGCAATTTGAGATGGCAAGGGGTCGAGGAATCAAGACCAAGTGAGACATGCACGCGCAACAGTTGCTGTTCTGATGATCCCTGGCTGGATCCAAGAATAAAACCTAGGATATTGGCAGGCCTTCATCTACTTTTCCACTCCAAAAGGGTAGAGGAGAACATATCCTTTATGTGATGGAGAGTAGGAGAATGGCCTGCCTCATACATGAAATGCACAGATGCTGAAACTATAACTAACTTTTAAAAAATTGTGTGAATTTGGCATTGACTCCTTAATGTATTTGTATTTAACTTTTAGAAATGATTTAAATTATTTACCACTGAGCAAAGCGATACTGTAGGAAGATGCATGGTTTATTTTGTGGCTGCAGGGACCCCTACCTACGCTAGGGTATATACGGTCAGATGGTATATTAACTTCTACTTCCAGAAATTTGGAGTGGCCCTGAAAGGAAAATACTAGATAACAGGGTAAATTAATCTGTAGTAGGGATCTCACTATTACATACTCCAAATTTCTCACAACATGCACCTAAAGAGTGAAAGTGTGTTGGGGTATTGGGTACAGTATAGGCATTCTAGTTTATAGCTAAGAAAACAGCTACCACAAGGTGGAGCAAAGTCACAGAATTAGAATCACAGTTCCCTGTTTCCCTAACTTGGGTTATACTGGCTCTCTGGGTTTTAAGTCATAGGCATTCTCCATATCCAGCTTTGTGAAGCAAAGTGGGCTCTTGAATATGAGAAAGATAGAGAGAACCTGAAAAAGAAAACTATGAAAAAAATAATTGACTTGTTAACCAGACTAGATGTCTGGATCAGAAGAGCTTCCAAAAGGGAAAACCATGAATCGGTCACACATTTTACTCTAGGTGAACGTGCTTCACAAGTTTAAAGAGACCATAAGTTCATAGAAAGCAGAATGGAAAATTAGGAAAACTCACTTTGGAGGGAAGCTGAAATGGACTGAAATTCTGGCCCAGCCAAGCCTTTACACATTTACTGAACTTCCCAGATTGTCGTCGGTAAAATGAGGACAATGGTGTCCACTTTGTAGGGTTCTTGTGAGAATGCATGTAAAATGCTTTGTTTAGTGGATGGGACCCAATCCTCAACAATAATAAGATGATGGCTTACTAATATTAAGACATTAACATTCACAATATTAATCGACTATTTCACACCATGATGTAATCAAAGATAATTAAGATACTGTCTCTGATTTTTAAAGTTTTCTTAGTCTACGGCCATGCCACTCTGAATGAGCCCGATCTCGTCTGATCCTGGAAGCTAAGCAGGGTCGGGCCTGGTTAGTACTTGGATATGAGACCACCTAGGAATACCAGGTGCTGTAGGCGTTAAAAATAAATAAATAAATACATAAATACATAAATCAATAAATAGTTTTCTTTCAAAGATTAAAACTGAGATGATAATAACAAAGATAACTAACATTTACAGTATATGTACAATGGCCTAGTGCTACTGTAAGCACTTTTAAAAGATTATCTCATCAAGTGCTCATCCACCCAGAGGAGCTAGGCATTAACCCATTGCACAGACCAGGAAACTGAGGCCTAGAGAGGTGTAGTAATTATTTTTCAGCTCACTCAGGAAGCACCAGAAGTAGTATTCACCCCCGGGCACCCTGTCTTGGGGCTTATACCTACCGCAGTGGTTTAGGTCTAGATTCAGCCAACAATTTATTTCTAGGGGCTGCGTTCTCTACAGCCAAATTATACTTTCCAAGTGCAAATGTAAAATAAATTCCAGTAGTACCATGGGTAGGTAATATGAAACGGATTTAGATCTGACTACAATAATCACCAAAGCAAGCTGCTTGCCTCTGGTCCATCTCTCTCTCCCCATGGCCAACCCACCCTTGTACACTGCCAACAGTTATCTTTATAAAACATGTATGTGATCATGACACTTCTCTACTTAAAGGCTTCCTCTGTCTGCAGAATGGTGTCTAAGAGCTCAGCACAGGAAGCCTCTCCTGGTAGGTCCAGATCTTCCTTCTCAGCCTCTGCTTTGGGTATTCTAGCTCTTCACCCTACATTCTTACACTTGGAATTGGAATTCTTACAATTCCACGTGAAATTAGGGCAGTTAGGGTTGCATAGTTAACCTCATGTGTGGCAAAACGGACAGAAACTTAAAAAAATTTTCCCTTGCATTCTATTGTTGTTATAAAGTTAAAAAAAAGGCTAAAAAATTAGATTTTAAAAAGCTATACAAATTATACAAATTGAAAACTGTGCACACACAATCAGTTGAAAAATGTATATATATTTAAAATTCTAAATATTTTTTACTTCCTATCAGAGACCTGATGTTTTAGTGGAAAACATCTTCTATTTGCAACTACTCAAGTATGATACTCCCTTTTTCTCCTGGAATACAACCCTTTCTCCTGGAATACAACCTCTCTGAGATGGCAAACTGCTAAACTATTCATCCTTTAAATCCAGTTCAAATATCACTTCTCCCCGAATCTCTTATTCTGTCCACTTTTCCTTCCTAAGGACTCCCAAAGCCAGGGGGTCTTACAGCATTATTGTACTGCCTGTAATTATTTATTTATACAATAGACTTTGAGATCCTTTAGAGCAAGGTTCTAATCACTGAATCCCCAACTCTTAGTTTGATGTTTGGCTCTCAGTAAGAATTTGAAAGTTTATCATTGGGTACATGAATGAATGATCAGTCTAAGATTCCCTACTCTTTTTAGATCTTGCAGGGAAAACATTTTTATAGTGGACACGCCTTTGGACACTTTGTTAAGTCGAAGTCCATTATATTTGAGAAGAAATCTGAAAGGAGCCAGGTAAGGTCCTAAGGGGTAAAATGTGTCCATCAAAAAGCTAGTGATTTCCTAAGTGTGACTTGTTCCCACACCCCGCCTTTCCCACCATTCTAGCTCGTCGACCACTTTTAGGATGGGGAGAACATCGTGTTCAAGCCGATTATCTTCTCTGCCTCGATTGATGAGCTTTGCCCTCCTTTGATCCTTAACAGCCAAGTCTTTCACAATCCAGTCTCCAGTTTTCCTACTGGGATCCAACCTTTCGGGGTCACATCCCTTTCCGTCATGGAGACACCTAACTCTGGATGTCTCCAATGAAGTCTGAAAAGAGCCCTCTCTAGAACTCCCACCCTCAAAGACTCCCTCTGGTCGGGAAGGGGTTTCCCAGCTGCTGGGGCTGCGATCTCCGCCCGCGCCAAAGGGAGCATCACCGAGGGAGGCGCGGTGGGCGTCGCCCAGGGCCGTGGGGCGGGGCGGGGCTGCGCTTAGCCACGGGAGGTGTCCATCTTCCCGGACCAGCCCGGCTTTCCCCACCCAGCCGGGGCGGAGAAGGGCTCCAGCGACAGCGCCGGCGCCTCTTGCGAGCCCTGCCGCACCTCGCCGAGTCCCGCGCTGCACCCCCGGCCGCCGCCCC